CAAGATTGTAGAAACTAATTCGGAAACAATATTTAGTTATAACATGCTCTGTACAGAGATTACAGTTTAAACCAGTAAAGGTTTGAAAGGTTCGAGTCACTCACTCAGCTTGAATTGAACTTGAGTCCCAATTCATCAAGTACTGATAATGAGTCGAGACTGACTCAATGCGGTTCAGGACTTTTTAACAAGAGTTGAGCAAACCCAAAACCAAAATTGAGCTCCTTTGAAATTTTTTCCACAGAATCACTATCTAGTACAGGGGTGGGCAACAATGACGTCCTCGCGGGCCGGATTATTACAAAAAATACTCCCGTATCCAATCTTTGTTAAATGCTCGACAGTCTTTGTCAACTTCACGTTTCTGGGATATTCCATGGATAATAAAACTTACCTAATATAAAATCTAATTTTTAAATTCTTTTATATTTAGAATCTAAATATAAAATAAAACTGATAACAGTAGTGGGAAATGTTTACAACGCTCTCTGCTTTGACCTTATTTGTTTAACAAGTGTCCTAACGCAATTGTTTGTTCACTTAGACAATTGTTTATTTCCCCAGCTCGCACTGACAGTGCGAGAGTATAGCGATCGGCAATTTTCAATGCGTCGGACCACATAACAGAGTGTGGTTGGATACAGTCAGCGGGCCGGTCAAAATCTCGTGGGCCGTATGTTGCCCACCCATGATCCAGTATGTTACATGATTTAGTCGTTCACTAATTTGATGTGAACTATTCAAATCTGAAATAATTTCAGGAATAAGATATACCATATCATTTTGATTCGCCCCTATTTTAGTAAAAAGAACTAAATCTTATTTTTAGCTTCAAGTTGATATACATTTTATTGCAACTGTTATATATTTAAAAAAAATAATAATATAGCAATATTATGATGACATTATTATTTCAGATCTCGGAAACTAGTTGTTATTCTGTCAGACAAATTTTTCCAAAGCCGAGAACACGAATGGCAATCAAACTTGGCTATCAGTCAAGATCCTGGTACGTATTAGGCCAAATTAGGCCAACCCAAATAATTTACTATTTTGAATAGTCTAAATTTATTCAAAAAGTTTGAATTTGAAAATTATGTGGCAGTGCTTCAATTGGTTCTCTATTTTTTTTTTTAGTTTTTCAAAAAATAATTTTTTTTAATCTTTTTCATTGTCCTGTGAGACCTATACTGCTCAGAATAATATATTTTTCTAAAGAAATTATTCTACTAAAATCAATCAATGACTCAAAATATCGAATATTGAAATGTTATTCATTTTTATTCTATTCTAATATTCGATTTTCATTGGATTCTGGTTGTAGGTAAATAGTTAGGAACGCCTGACCATGATTCTATTCCTAAATTATTCGAAACAATAGCAACATCTGTCATTGGTATCTACGATTTCTAATATACAATTCTCATTTGGTATCTCTTACCTTTTTATGTCATCGAATGACAAAGAGTAAATATTAGAATTACGTTGTTTTGAAAATAATATTCACATAATGATATACTGGTATTTTCAATTTACCGATCACTATCACATGTCATTCTAAATTATATATTTTTTTGTTATTGAACAATAAGGGGGTTTTCACTTCTTTATTTTGGGCACAATTTACTTCCTATTCTGTGATTTTGCAAAATTTTCCAATTGCAATGAATTTTAAATGTGGACCATTCATACTTGTATTATTTTATATTTTGAAACAGAAGCCTAACAAAAGTAACTATTCTCTTTACTTTACTCTATATGACGTCTATTATTGAGTCAAGCCATTTCTTTGAATCATTTTGAATTTTCGGTATTCGTTACATGCAAACTACTCCTTTCAACGATGAATATATGACGTGACTCATTTTCAAACCTGGCTGTTCTTAGTGACAATGTGTCTAAGAGTATTCCATCCATGGCCCAGATTTTAACTGTTGCTGATTTGCTAATTCCCAGTCACTGAGTCTCTCTTTTCAGTGATTTGTTTCGCATTTCTGTTTCACAATATTGAAAGTGAATTTAATTTAAACTCCAATACTATGTGATAAATTTTTGTGTTGAGTGATAAGGTAAAGTGTAGAGATGGTTATAATGTTTCGGTCGGGATGTAAACGACTTCCTCCTTAGAGCATATTATGCATTAGATTAGAGCGAATATTCAAGTTTAAATGTTTCTTATATGTTATTTCATTTTTGAGTATAAATTACAATTACTGAAACAACAAACAAATATACTAACAATCTTGAATATTAAATTCAAATATTGAAATACATAGGCTACACAATAAAATTCAGTATTTTAAAACAGTTACGGTATCTTTATTAATGTATGAAAATTTCAGTTACAATAACAATTTTTTTCGTTTCATCTCGTGAACAGCATCTCGTAAACAACGAATCATCCCGATAAAATACAAGAAAATAAACAACCGCAACATTTTTGATCATCTTGGATGTTGTGATCTCACTAAAACGATGAAGGAACAATGGTTTTGGGATAAAATTATCAACGGCATTAAGGCTTAAATAAGCTTGAAATAACAAGTAAGTAAAAAATACATTATGTATCCTTAAGATTGTACATATTAACTGTTTGATTGTCCAATATTTTTTGGGTGATAGACAGTGAACTAACAATTTTCAGATGTTAAACTCAGTATACTCAGTCCTAATAAAGTTAGCATGACTTCGATTTTAGAATGAAATATAAATATAGCAGAAGAAGGTATCCTTATCTTATAGAGAGTTTTCATTTGTTTTAACTGCTCAGTTTACTACTTGGAAAAATCGTAATTGAATTGCTAAATATTCCCAAATTAGAAAGTTAAATCTTGAAATCATTATGATAATTGAAGTTAGCAGCTCAAAGTACAATTTTCATATTGTTCAATCCTTTTAAATTTCTCATGGCTGACTAATTAAAACATTTTATACATCACTGTTGTTGTACTGCCAAATTATTGACCAGTATATTAAATATTAAAGTTACCAGTTCATTCGAGACAAGTCCAGTCTTAACTAAATAGTATATACAGTATATATTATAGGTTTGTAGCCATTCCATAGACACGTTTATTTTTGGCTCAAAACCTAAAATGCTGCGTAGTAGAGATACCCGAGCGATTTTTTATAAATAGATAAATCAGTGACATTAATTCTCTAATTTTGATCTGTAAATGTATGATAATCTATTTTCTTCAACAATTGGACAAATTGAAATTTTATTAAATTACTTACACAAATGTTTTATGTATCCTTGTATATTTTTATGTGATTAAAATTAACCTTGTCACAAATTTTAAACGCACTTTTATATCTGACTTGCTTCATTGCATAAAACTGAATATTCATATTGTGTCTTATTGTTTTCAGAACAGCCATCCTGTTTTACATTTTCTACAGACTGTGCAAACAAAAACATCTCATATTGCTCAACTTAATGTCATTGCGGAAATGTACAATACTGTAATAAAGTTTATGAAAAATGTCAAGTCGAAATTTTGATAATTGATAAAATCGTTTGGTTTAATCGTAATAGCTTATGCAACCCATGCCTGACCTGGACTTAGCAGGAGAGAGATGGTATACATATGATTGCCTCTCTGCTGGTTCTCTTCTGAAGATGAAAATTTAGTCCTATGCTGCCCATTATATCAGTGGTTCCAACTGTGTTGTTCATGACCCCCAGAGATATTTTGAATACGCATATCAGTGAGTTTTTACATCTCTCAAATTATTCCAAGTTATCTGATCAAAAAACATTTAAAAGGTTCACAACTTATATTGTTGGAAGGATTCATGCCATGAAAAAAATTGGGATCTAACGGATCTAACCTATTAAACTGTAGAAATCCTTCATAACTTAATTGTGTGATTGGGTTTATCTGTAAATAGTTGTAAACATATTTTTATTATTATGAAATATTTCTCTTTTTAGCATTTTCAATTTTATCATTTATTATGATCAGTATCACTTTTATTGTATATATTACTTAATACTCATAACTCGCAAATTTTAAATGATGTCATTAATTTAGTACAACATTTCCCAGTGAATTTTGTCGGTTTCATGGGATTTTGCTTTGTATTGGCTTTAGTATTTTGTTTTCATTGTCATGATGATTGATGAGATTCCGAAGTTCCAAACAAATGCAATGATGTACCAGATAACACAATATTGAGTATTTTTTTTTCATTTTCATTATTGCCAGGTTGGTTTGAAGCAATGAGTTTTAAAACTCCCTTTGCTGGGCTATTTTGTAATTAAAAAATATTTTGATCATTAATATTTTGTCAGCTGTAAAAGAATTTTCAAAACAAGTTTGGTCTGCTTATTTTTTGGAATGGTCTTGTGTTCTGAATAATATGACATTGCTATTGAGAAACTGCCTTTTTTCCTTTGTTCTGTCAATAAAATGCTTTGTACGTGATGGTGTTTTCCCGGTTATTCGATACTTAGGAATGAAAGATTGTTAATAAGGTCCGGGTGTTTGTTGTTGTAACTGCGTGTAGTCACAATATATTTCTGATACTGTGCCTGTACAAGGAAGGGCCTATTGAATTGCCTTGATGTTTCATTTTCATGACCTTTCGCAGTATTATTAATGAATTTGCAGAAAAAACTCTTCTGGTATGTTTGGGCCTTGTCCTGTTCGGCTGGTTACCTAACTTTTCTATCGTGCCAATATTGTTTATAACCAACCTGCATGGCGAGAGGATTGCTGGACTGCAGAGGGGTGAATTAACCGCTGGCCGGCTACGGCTTCACCCCCACTATCAAGTCCGGAACAAATAATTAGGTAACTAACCAGACACCGCGGCCTCAAGTCGTCCTCGAAATATTATTTAAACATCAGCAAAGTCGTCGTTGAAATATTATTTAAACATCATCAACGACTTTGTAAAAGCAATCCACTTTGTATTCAAGTATCCAAAATCGTGACATACAGAAGTGTTCTGTGGTCTCTCATAAACAAATACGTGGAAATTCCCTGCTATGACGCACACGCTATTCTTATAACACGGAAGCGCTAGACCGAAATAGTCGAGTGCGTTACACAGCAAGAGTCCTTACAGTGGCACGTGATGGGAATTCCCGGTGATCACACAATAATGGAACCACATCTCTTTAGCGCAGGCAGACTATCTCGATTAAAAATGTCACGTCACATAACCGCATAAAAATTTATTTGCACAAAGAATAACGCAAAGATAACTGAACGAGAATCATTATAATAAAACTACCAAACGCAATAAATATTGACAGTCGTGGACCAAAACACAAAAGAGTCAAATACAAGAATAAGAATTTAAAGGTTCTGGGTGGTGCTTCAATCAAATGTTGGTTGAAAATGCGTAGTGGAGTAATTTGACCGAATGTCAGTTATTACACACACACATACATTGCCTGTAGAAGGGCAAAGACAGTCAAGTGAAGAAAAAAAAAACGAAAAGCGCTGAAATGTTTCAGCCTAAGAAAATTGAGACAAAAAAGCTGAAAAACAGGAGACGGAAGATCTTACTTACTTTAATCTCAACGGCAACAAACATTTTAATTAAAAACATAAAATCTACCTTTTTGAATAACATAGGTAGGTAATCACTCACTGTTGTTACTGCTGGAATATTTTCTTTATTGTATTATGTTTAATAGTTTTGAATTCGTTTTTGTGGTGCTCCCGGAGTATTCGTACCAAGATATCGCGCAACCTGAACATAGTATGTGTACCAGGTTGGGGTTGTTCAGGTTGTGCGTCATCTTGGTACGAATACTTGCGGAGCGCCGTTTTTGTGGCAATAAATCTCTTCCTTTGTGAATTTCAACACTATTGACATTTAAGGCCTGTGTGACTAATAGGGTTTCAGAATCCAGCATTTTCTTTACCAGTATACATTACAAAACTGCAATAACTTGCTTTACAACAGTTTAGATACATGATCAAGTTGAAACACCATATCATATGAGTGATTTCACATTATGATGGATCTCGATACAAAAGTTAAACCAAAACTTAATACACATCTTTTAAACTTGAATGTTCTTCAATCGATTTAGCTAAATATTCACAGCTTGGAAAATAGTAATGGGTCACAAATTCAAAAGCAGGAAGTAAACTTTTTAAACCTAAAATTTAGGATGAATTTTATGCAGGAAAGCTTCATTTAATAGGCTGTTAAGAACAATTAGTAAATTTAAAGGTTTTTCAGCTTCTGTAGAAAATTTTTGACTTTTTTTCACCATTGAAAGTATGAAATTTTACCTCAACTATACAGAATTCAGAATTTTTACTCTAAAACCGGGAGTTTGGAAATTTTGATTCTTAGTCGAGCAAATAAGTAGATCAATAATGAATACCCCAGCAAAAAATACATACATCATCTTGACAAATTACTGTGACCAAGACGCAATGATGGCTGTACAGATAACATAAATAATAATAAAAAGAAATATTTCAAAAATACAATAGTGATATATTCTACATTAAGCCATGTTTTCAGAAGGAATTGCACAGATGCAAACATTGTTATTTTCAAGAACTGTAATTTTCCAGAAATTGAAAAATAAACTAGACTTGAATCTTAACAATAGGAGAGGTAAAGAAGGTTATGTTTTTCTAACCAGTGTTCCACGTTCAAGAATGTCCATCCGAATAATTCACGATTTCATATATATATTTTCTAATAGGAAAAGTTAGCCCTTTTCGAAAGACAACAGTCATAAATAATTCTATATTCATGAATATTTAATTTTATAACAGGAAGAAGTCATGATAGACATTATGATTACTATTTTCTGCAATATTTCGAACTTAAATATGTTGGTGTAGGTAGTCAAATGCTTAATAATACAATTTTTTGCTTAAAATAAAGGATTAATTCATAACAAACTGAGTAATACGAAAGCATTCAAATATTCCTTTCGTTGCATACACCGATAAGAGTTATAATTTCTCGATCAATTCGCTAATAAAATCAGTGTTAGAATTACAGGACAAATACCAATGTAATGAAACCAAAACAAACATTTTAAATAAATTGCACATCACCATCAAAATCACAATCCAAGAAAAAATAAATGACACAAAAGCAAACAATAAAATATTTTATTTTAAATCTTTTAGTAAAAAAAGCATGAAAAATATCACCAATTTTAGATACATTTACTAAGCACAGTAAATAGTAAATATTAGTAGGGAGCTCAAATACACTGCTTATTTCAGACAGTATCAGTATTCGATCATTATATTAGTATCAACCTAACCATTACATTATAATAAAGGTATTAACAAAACAAAAAACGTCTGTGGCCAATGATAACCCATATGAATGTGTACTACAAATCGTGCTTGGCAAAACATACTTTCTTGAACCATGGTCTTGGACACTCATGCATAGAATGCAAAGTTTGGCACCACCGTGCATAAGGATTAACATTGAAAAATTAGCACAAAATCTTAAAAAAAAACGACGATAATAATTCTGTATCACGTCATACGATAAAATCCAATTTTACTTTGACTTGCACTGCATATGTGAAGACATTCTCTCTATGTACTAGCAAAATTTTCAACCATACTGATAAAAATGAGATAAATTAATGCATTACAAAGCGCTTCACAATGGTTAGTGTAATATATTTAATCTGTAACACAGAAATCGCTAATAAATACAATTTGAATTTTCAGAATATTTCAACTCCTTATATATATATGGTGTAAAGAAAAAAAATGTCTGATCTGTAACACAGAAATCATGTTAATAAATATACTTTGGAAAATTGAAAAAAAGATCCCCAGCTAGGTAAGTTCTTACTCCTGAAATAAGTATTCCTAATTTCTTATTCATCCCTTGTTATACTGGTAATTGTGTCGGAAACAGAGTGGATGTGATGCTCCATCTTTTCGTTTTGTTTTTACTAAATAATCTTTTTTTTATTATTCAGAGATGTATCGTTTATTTTAATCTTATTTTAAATGTTTTTATTTCCATTGGTTCAATCTTCCAGTCTCCATCTGGTGGTATTTCGTCTTCTGTGTATTGCAGTGATAAACTTGTACTAACGATGTTTGTTGCGGGATAAAACGTAGCTAGATTAAGAAAGTCTTCTGTAAAATAAAACAGGGTTTATGAAACGTCTGAGTAACAAAATAATGCCACAGGATTCCTACTTTATATTGAGATATTTCACAACCATGTCCCGAACAAATCTCTGGGCCAATGTTGTTAAATCTAATCATGTACAATTTGATTATTTAATTAATGGAAAGCATGCTAAATTACTCAAATGTACGCAGCCAAGTTTCTACACTATATGGAAAATAAGAAGAGAGCGACTCAATCTGCACAGAGTACAGCCTACGCTAGTTCATGTTCTGTGAAGTTTGATAAACAAGTGAGATAAGTTGGTGGATATGAAAATTTTAAAGTCTCACAAAATAAAAGAGTATAATATTCCAAATTTCTCACCTGAATCGGAAGCAAGGCAAGATGATTTATATAATCTGCAAGTATCAAGATGACATTCATGTCCAAACTTTTGAACAATCAACGCAGATTCATCTGTCGGTGTTCCCTCTACTTCTTTTGATTCGATGCTTCTCAGATTGACAATGTGAACACTACACGGCAGAGGAGGCTCATCTGCACTTTGTTTAGAACCCGCAAGAGGTAAGTAACTGTCTTTATATGTTGTCGTTACTTCATTATGTTCAATATTTCGATATTGCATTGACCACATAGGGTGAAGAAGTTCTAATAACGAGTGATGCGCAATTATTGATGGAAAATGGTTGTCAGAAGAACTGTCTGGTACGCCTGGTGTATTGCTCCAACGTTCAATTAAAATAACAAAATTGTCTGACGTAGCTAGATTGTCTTTTGTCGCTTGTCCCATCCCTCGATTGTCATCTTGCATCAATCGTCGGTCGAGAATAATTTCCAATTGTGATGAAACAAGGGAGGCGACACCACGAGGCTGACCAGTTAGAACAGTGAGTCTGTGAAAGTAATATTTTGAATGAATAAAATTTTTCCATCAAGTATTTCATACATATGAAATGGATGGACCCATATCGCTTGTCGTGGACTCCACGATTCCAAACTCTGGAAGACGAGTTCAAAAATTAGCTTTGACTGAAGAAAAAAACAGGCCAAACTACGACTCCACGACCCTGATAGCTTATTCAAAGCCTAGTTTCGAGAGAAAGTGTAAAAATGTCTCATTTTGAAAAAAAAACACTTGCCTTGCTTTTTCATTTTGAATAAACGCCATTGTTGGCATAGGATAAAATTTGCTTGGATTGGAATCTTATCGAGACGAGTTTTCCGTTTCTGCATCTGGAATCCATTGAGATCAGTAAAGAATGAGTTTTCATCGTTGGCTACGTCAGGAGCGGTGATTCTCATTGATAATTCTTTATTATCCATGCCATTTCTTATGTCTACTTTATTTGTGACAAAAATTCCAAAAGGTGCAGCACCAAGTTTGTCAGTAATTTGAAGCGAAACTCTGAATAGCAAAAGATCGAAAATAATTTGACCTAATGCTCTTTGGTATTTGAAACAATCTTGATTTCGTGGTAACTTATGGTAATTTCATTCAGAATGTAGGAAATATGCATGAGGCCATGGTTCACTATACAACTAAGCAATTTTAAAAAATGTAAATAATCCTAATCATATGTGGCAACATTTTATCATATAAATACAACAGTGTATTCATTTATAAAGGACTATATCTGCAATTGTTCCTATCTTCATTATTTATTCAGTAAATAAAAGATGTTGACATTGAACCATCTTATGATATAAGGAGTTGAATAAAGGCTCAAACACAACAGAGAGTGAGGCATGGGACCATACTGTAAAGACCTGCTTTATCGAAAAAGCGAATTCTTTCTCTTTCGGCATTGCCTGCCCATTTAAGTACACCCCGTTGAACCCAAGAAATGTTGACTGCAATGCAATGAGGTCTAACGCTTTAAATCACCAGATAACTGTAGCGAAATTATCGATATCAACAAAAAAAAGTGAACTTATATCGTACATGTGTTCAACATTGGGTGCAAGTACGTGGACCTCCTTCAATAAAGGACCTTCAACAATTCTGACAATGGGACGAGCTGAATCTGTAAGATGTGGAGAAGCTGGACCAGACGGGAGAAATAAATAAGCTCCGGAACGTTCTTTTCCTCCTCTTGCTTCATAAACACCAAAATCTATGGCAACCTGAAATGCAATTTACATTTTGATTGAGTTGTAAAATTAATACTTCAGGGAATTTCTGCCAAAAAATATAAAAGTCACAATGCAGAATGCCCATATCTGAATACTAAAAAAATTTCGTTTGACTGCCAAACATCCCAAGTAAATCAGTTATTCAACAAAATCCTGGATAAATATATATTTGAAATTTCACTTTTGATCAGATTCCATAGCAAAATATGCAAACTGATCAGAAAAACTGTAAAAATGGTTATTCAATACTTTTTGATATGTGTCTGAGATCTCAAATATAAATTTCAATCAAATGATTTAATCAATTTCAATCAAATACATTCATAAGTAGTGTTTATTTTAAAATAAAAGCAAAATGTTCATTTCAAATATGCACAAAAATTCATGCGAGAACAAATCAGAAAAAGTCACCTTCATTTTATTTTTATCCCTTTTGTTGTTACTGATGAAGTAAGCCGTTTTTCGTAGAAAACGATGCAATTAATTCTTCATTTTCAATGGAAAATTCTTCTGTAACGGATGGTTTTGTAGTGACGGTAAAATCATCGCAAAAATGTAAATTGTTGGCTTCTTGTACGTTCAACAAATCTACTTTTGATAAAGAATTCTGTGGAATGTTTTGAAAGCTGAAAAATTAAATATAATGAGTATGTTGAATAATGAGCATTGCTAGTTGAAAAATTATTTCCCAAAAATATGAAATATATTCTAGATTGGGCCATGTTTGACAGTGGCGAGTCAAACTTTGCTGCTGCCCGGGACAAGTTTCTGATGACCCCTTATACCTAACTTCAAAAATAATTTGGAGGATAAACAAATTATAGACATCATCATCAGTGGCGTGTCTAACTTTACTGCTGCCCGGGGCAATTTTTTGATGATAACATGCTGCCCAGGGCAGCTGCCCCTTTGGCCCCCCTTTAGACACGCCACTGATGACAGAGAAATTTTTCAAAACATTGCAAAGTTATCGAAAACAAATTTTGTTATGCTTAATAGTTGGAATAAACATTCGTTTTCTATTTTTCCCAATGTCACAAGGTAAAAAACTTAATTTTTGTCTCACTATCAGATCTCAAATGCTCAAATTGACAGATTTTGAACTAAAATAGTTCTAATTTATACCTAAAATTAAGAGATTCCTGTATCCAATTTATAGTGTAGTGTTATAGTGATTAATTATAAGAAGTATTTCCCACCATGAATCTTAAACTTAAAACAACCAACCCAAAATATATGAACCTGATTTGATAAGTAGCTAGTCCAGTAGCTGCAACCGTAGCAACAAAAACCAGTTCAAACTGGTCTAATTTGGTAGCAGTTGGTTCAATCCAAATGAGGTTGGTTTGTGAAGGAATTAGTTGGTTCTTGTGATCAGTGACCTTTACATGTGGTGCCGTTACAATTAGACGTACAAGACCTGAAATAAAAGAAAAATGTTCACACAAGGTAGAAAAAATGATAACAGAAGGTAATATAACTGCAATTACTGATAAATACTGATGATAGAGTTTTCCCTCATCGTGGTGGATTCTTCGCACCAAAAATCAAGAATTGCCAAAACCAGAAATCTATTATCCAGAATATGATCTAAAATAGTCAAACATTGGATCTTATTCAGTCATATTTAAACACAGAAACCAATGCATATTCTTTAATTTTCTAATTTTTAGTTTTCAGAAATTGAATGAACACCATTTTGGTCCTACTGTAAGACTTCGGTTCACAATAGTAGTTGAAACTTTTTTCGATTTTTCATAAAATCAAGAAATTAAAATATATTTAATTTCTAACTAATTTGGATAATCGATTTGTGTTGGACATTCTTGTACAGAGCATATAGGATTAGTTTGAAAAAATCAGAATAAATAACACAAGGAGAAACCTTGAATACTCAGCTCAGCAGATAATTACTTCCTATTCGAATAGAAAACAATATCACAAAGAAATCACACTTACCAGTCCTATCATAAGAAAGAGAATTATAAATAACGATGGTGGATGGTGTTCCTGAGGTTTTGTCAATGTTAATGACAACTTTATCTCCAATCTTATCGTGAGATGCAAGAATCGAATCGTAATCAAGAGTCAGGTCTTTTTCAGATTTAAATGAAGTAGGATCTCTCAGCAAGAGAAGTTCTGCGGAACGTGACATTACCTTAACGTAAGAGAAAGGATTATTTTTTTGACAATGTTAGACATAGAAATATATGAAAAAAGTGATAAATATGTCCATCATAATGAAAATAATGATATTAGAAGTTGTTAAACCCAAGCAGAGCTATCATAGGTGTGGCACAAACATGTTCCAAATATTCAGCACTATGTTAGCATTAATTTGGTTGATTGATCCAATATTTTCCTAGATGGAATAGTGATTTATCAATTATTTTTCTATTCAAACTTATGATCAAGAATCGATTTTGTAACTACATACTATTAATGAATATCTTGTGCATAAAAATTCTATAAAAATTCAATAATCTCACTTCTTTTGCCTTCATGACGCTGTTTTGTAATTTTCTTCCATAATCTTTTACAACAGGATCTTTAGAAGTTCCCGTGATACCGTCATGATGTTGGAATAATCCAAGATTTTGTCTTGCATATTGCAATAAACTGAAAAATAATAAAAAATATATATTGCATAACAAAAAGCAAATACAGTCGTTGGATTCTGAGAATCTCATGTGTTCAATTTCAATGCTCAAATATATAAACATGAAGGCCGAAACAATGTAGTATGGGTATCCAATCTTTTACAATAAACTATCAGTACTGTAGTCTTTTCAGACTTCACCTGAACACCAGATAGCAACAAACACAAACACAGAGGGGTATGCCACAAGATTTCTAATTTTTAGAAATAAATAGAAGTAATAGCCTTCCAGTGACAACAACAATCTTCAACCACTGAAAATTTCAAAGCAATTGGTCCAGTAATCAAAGAGAAAAGCAGATTTTGCATAACAACAAAAAGAAAAATACCAACAAAAGCAATAACAACATAATAACAAAACATCAATAGGTCCACTCTAAGAAACAGAATTTAATGGCATAACCATATAGCTGGCAATAGAATCCTCCAGATACTAGTACCCAATAAGAGAAAAGTTGACATGTTATTAAACATTCCTCAGATACAAAATTATGCGCTTAATGAGCCTGGAATACTCACGGATATAATTTATTTGAAAAGGATGGATCAACTCCAGATTCTCTTGCAACTGGGAGAGCCAATGAAAACAATATTTCAGCTCCTCGTAAATGAGCTTCCAAATTTCTTTCCTGAATAAAAAACATTGGTTTATTTGTGATTAATTATAGCTACGGAATTTTCAAACATAAAAAAAAGTAATAACTGTTTAATATTCCAAAATTGATGAATTTTAAAATGCTTTCTCAAAAAGGGCCTAGCTTTTGCATTTCTTCACTAAGAGAGAATCTCGCAGTGCCTGTCTTTAAGAAAATTATATTTTCATATTTCTGGTTCTGCTTAACAAAAGGTATGAGTCTTATTACAGATTCAAAACTAATGGCAATCTCTTGAAGTTTTTATTGTTTTTGTGCAAATAAATCGGCGCCACAGAAGTGTATGTATCAATATGGAGGTAACTAATATTGTTTGCCTACTTTACATCAAGTTGTGTAAAGGGCCTGAAAGCTATGGGCAGGGGGTATATTCACTTGGCTAGCACATACAGTCCCTGAACTCGTAATAGAACTAAAAAAGGACAAATCAGAATAAAATTATGGCCTAACCCTAACCTGGTACACACACTACGGGAATACCAACAAATCATATTGTTTTCAATTTTTCAGTTTCTTAATTACCTGTGTTTTATAGAACGGTCTTGATGTATAATACCCGCTCCAGTAATGATCTTGTCTATCAGCATAGGTAAAGAAATCTCCAGAGAGAGAAGGCAGATTCTGTGAACCGCCAACGTCATGTAACATTGCATCAAAATATTCGGAAAGCGTTGAAAATTTGGCTTCTGCGTTTAATTCAGGATGCGAGTTGATGTAATCAAAGAGTGTTGCATAGTTAGTGAATTGGCCTTCAACTTCATCCATCTGGATAATAAACAAGATGTAAATAAGTGACGGAGAAATGCTCAAATTA